TGAGTTCTGGTTTTGGAAAATATCCTGACATAGGATTTTTGAGTTGAGCTTCAACCTCCATTTTGATTTTTAGCCTAACAAGGACTTGATGGCACTTAACAACAAGATTAATTAGGGCAGGTTTTTATTGTAAGGGTCTTTAGGGAGGGAAGAGAGGGACATTCACTTGTGGTTTAGCCAGGTGGGTGGTCTTCTAGGGAGGGAAGAGAGGGGCACTCCATGGTAGTTGAGGCTGTTCACTCCCTTTGTTAACATGTTGATATTCTTTGAGTCCTTCATTCTCCCTTTGACCTTGGTAGGGGCCTGACAGTAATCATTACATATCTTTCTCTCTTGGAGTAATTGGTGGTCTTGAACTGCTCATCTTTTTGGTTAATAGCTCCATACTTAACCACTGTGCCACCCAGGCTCAACTTTAAAAAGCCGCCATCTTCAGTTCCAATAAGTGGTTCTTAGTGGACACATTTACAATGCCCATGCCATTTGCTCAGGGGCTGAGGGACACAGATCTGAAGAAAAGTTGAACAACCACCTGGTTAAAGTTATTATTGCTGCATGCCACACAGTTGGAACTGACTAATAGCTAATCCTCCAGAGGGGTTTTGAGAGGCAATCAATTGCTTGAGAAGAGACTGACTGGCCTTCACCTACAGAGCAGCTGGTGGATTCCAACCACGTACCTTTGGGATTGCAATGTAGCTTCTTACCAGTAAGCCACCAGAGCTCCCTAAATCACCCTAGAGGAACTAGTAAATAAATTGTCATCAAGTTCTTCACACTGTAGACCAAGCTGAGCTGGTGACTCTTTTTTGTCCTGGGAACCAATTAATTCCTCAGTAGACATGACTTTCTGTGATGGAAAAGTGAAGGATTTCTTGGCCTGAAGACAGTTCTCCTTGGAGACAAGGAAGGCAAAACTTCATCTCACATAATCTGGACATGTTGTTAGGAGAGGCTATTCATTGGAAGGAGACGCCATGCTTGGGAAGGTGAAGGATCAGTAAAAGAGAGGAAGACCCTCAGTGAGCTGGATTGGCACAGTGGCTACAGCAATGGAGTCAAGTATGTCAGAGATGATGAGAACGACACAGGATAGGACAGGGTTCTGATCTGTTATTCATAGTTTGCTATGAGTCTTACTCAACTCAGTGGGACCCAACAATAATAGCAACAACAACAACAATGCCCTTCTTAGGGAGCTGTGGTGGTCTAGTGGTAAGAAGCTGCACTGCCAAACCAAATGCATGCAGTTTAACTCTACTAGATGTTCTGCAGGAGACAAATGGGAAATCTCTTTCTGTGCAATTCAGTCTCTGAAAACAGACTGAAAGATCAGATCTGAGTTGATTCTGGCTCAATAGCATGCAACAAAAGTATGCTCTTTTTTATTTTGTGTTGCAGAGGTTCTAGAAAAGGACCTGTAGCCCTGAGAATGTGCATCATTGTTGTTGAGCAGAGTGCCTTGGCCTATTTCCTGAAATGAACCCACTGCTGTGGAGTTTGTTCTGATTCATGCTCACCTTCCATTGAAGTTTTCAAGGCTATAAATCTTCATGGAACCTTCATCTTTCTTGTGCAGAAAAACTTGTGAATTTGGGCCATTGTCCTTTGAGTTATTGGTCTACTATATCAACAGGACTCTTTTTGCCTATTGCCTACTCAAGTCAAGTGCAAGAGATTTGGTTGCTATTCAACACATACTGCTACCTTTTGCTTCTCTCGACCATGACTGAATCACTTCAAGCTGGTTGGAAGCCCTTCTCTAAAGTTTCCTCACTCACTCATTGTTGTGGATTCAGAGTTGACTTCTAGGTGACTCTCCCTCCATCAGGTTTCTGAGGCTGTAAATCGTATGAGGAGGAGACTGCCTATCTGTCTCCTGTGGATTCGAACATTTGGAGAGACATCACTTTTGGGTGGGCAGTGGAACTCCCTGTGGACTAGGCTACTAGCATTCCCTGTTCTAAAGTTAAGTACTTCAAACTACTGGTCTCCACTCATTGTGGAGTTGGTTTATCATCAAGGTGGAACGAACCCACAGCTGACTCCCCAGCAGGTTTTCAGAGGCAGTAAATTGCATAGAGGGAAATTGTCCACCTTTCCCCTGTGGAGTAACTGGTGGATTCCAACCTTATATACCTTTACATAGGCAGTGCAATTCCCAATACTAAGCCATCAGAACCCCCACTCACATTGTTAGTTGTCACTAAACTTACAGTGGTTCATGGTAACTTCATGGCTGACACGACTAAATGTTACCCAGTCTTGTGTTGACTTTATGAGAAATCCATGAAGTATGATGGAGTCAGTATAAATGCATTGTTGCCACTGTGTGTTTTCAGTGTCTTCCAACATAGGGTTTCCTATTCCAGTACAATAGTTTCCTTTTCCACACAAAGGATTCCCTGATGAACCCTAACATTTTCATTAGTTAATATATGGAAGTAGATAGCCAGACCTTTCTTCCTAGTTTGTCTGCATCTGGAAGAACCACTCAAAGTGTGACCATAGATGACCTTTCTGGAGTGATAATGCCAGAGGCAAGGTTTCCAGCACCAGAGCAATATACAAGCCACTACAGTACAAAAAACCAGCAGACAGTGGTGTGCTTCACCAGCCAACCACAAGTCCATTGTCTTCGAGTTGACTGTGACCTTGTAGGATGCAATAGACTGTAGGATGGACAGTAGGATGTCCACAGGTGTAATCTGTTAGGAAAACAACAACAACATCTTCCTCCTGCAATCTGCTGATCTCTCTTCTAGTCAGCAGCCACGCAGATCACATGACGTAACCAATTTAATAGGTGTCAGCCAACGTGAAAAAAACAGCGGTGCATTACACATATTAACTTTTCATAGTTGCTGTGCAAAACTGTGGACCTTGCTGGAAGGTCTAGGGTTTGAGCTGGTTTCACTGAAACTCTTTGCGGAGGACTTAAGGTGAGAGGCAAGTGTGGGATGTAAAAAAAATAGAAGGGCTGAAGGAAGGGAAAGAGGTTGGGGGAAATCAAGCTTCTAATTGTAGCTGCAGAAAGTGAATAGGACTAGAAACACTTACTGCAGAAAATCAAAGACTAAACCCTTTAATCTCAACATCAAGAAAACAAAAGTCCTCACCACTGAACCAATAGGAAACATGATAGATGGAGAAAAGATTGAAATTGTTGATGATTTCATTTTACTTTAAAAATCAACACCCAGCTCCCGTGGCCTAGTGGCAAAAAGCTGCAGTGCAATCCCAAAGGTGTGTGATTCAAATCCACAAGATGCTCTGTTGAAGGAATGGCAATCTCCTCCTGTGCCAGTCGGATCTGATTCGATGGTACACACACACACACACACACACACACACACACACACACACACAAATTAAAAAAGGCAGATGATACAACCCTGCTTGCTGAAATTGAGGAGGATCTGAAGTGGTTGCTGCAGAGGGTCAAGGACTGTAGCCTTCAATATGAATTGAAGCTCAATATCAAGAAAACAAAGTTTCTCACTACCGGGCCAATTGGCAGCATTGTGATGGATGGTGAAGAGATTGAGATTATTAACAGCTTTAGTTTACTTGACTCCATAATCAATATTTTTGGCACCAGCAGCCAGAAAATTTAAAAGCATATTGCATTGGGAAAGTCTGCTGTCAGAAACCTCTCCAAAGTATTAAAGAGCAGTGATATCAGTCTAGAGACTAAGGTGATACAGGCCACGGTCTCTGCAATCATTTGCTATGCATCAGAGACCTGGACAATAACTAGGGATGATAGAAGGAGAATTGATGCCTTTGAGTTCTAGTGTTGGAGAAGAATGTTGAATATAACATGGATTGCTAAGAGAACAAACAGGTTGGTCCTGGAGAGGGTTCAACCAGGCTGCTCCTTGCAGGCAAGGATTCTGAAGCTTCATCTTACATACTTTGGACAGGTTGCAAGGAGGGACTAGTCCTTGGAGAGGGACGTCATGGTAGGAAGGGTAGAGGGAAGAAGACCCTCGCTGAGATGGATTGATGTAGTGATGTGGGTAGGTATGTCAGAGACCATAAGATTGGCACAGGATAGAGCAGTGTATAGGGCTGTTGTATATAGGATCACTATGAGTCACAGGTGACTCGACAGCATATAACAACAACAACAACAATCAACACCCAAGGCAATAGCAGTAAAGAACTCAAGAGACATTGTTGCATTGGAAAAATCTACTGTTATGGACCTCTTTAAAATGCTAAAGAGAAATACTTTTAATTTCTTTTTTAAGAAATGATGTCAATTTAAAGACTAAAGTGTGCCTGATCTGTGTCTTTTCAATTACCTCTTATGCATCTGAAAGATGGACAACAGCACAGATAACAGGAGAATTGATGCCTTTGAATTGTAGTGTTGAATAAGAGTACTGAATATCCCATGGAGTGCTAAAAGAATGAACAGAAGAAGTCGGTACTGGACAAGATGCAACCCAGGTGCTCCTTAGAGGCAAGTATAGTGAAAGGATTTTGATGAGTCATAGTAAACCTGAAGGCATGCAACAATAGCACTGTAAAGATTTAGATAATGCTGTATCTCAATACTTATCTTGCATCTATCTATATATTGGTAATGACAAAGAATCTTTAGAAGTAGATTAGACTCAGCAAGAAAACTACTGGACATAGTTGGCCAATTCAGCAAAGAGGCAGGATACAAGATCAACATACAAAAATCAATTGCATTTCTCTACAGTGACAAAAAGACTACAAAGCTGGAGCTGAGAAAAACAATACCATTCACAATAGCTACTCACAAGATTAAATACTTCGGAGTAAGCCTAACCAGAAGCACAAAGGATCTATTCAAAGAAAATTACAAAACATTATTATAATAAACAAAAAGAGATCTGGAACAGCTTCCGGGGAAGTGTGGATGTTGATGTTCTTCTGACACCTTTGCGCTCGAAGTGGAGCACTCTCTGGAGGAGTCCGGAGGATTCTAATATTCAGTGTGGTAACTTCATCAGCTTGCCAAGATGGCGATGCAAGCGGCCAAGAGGGCCAACATTCGCCTTCCACCTGAAGTAAACCAGATTTTGTATATAAGAAATTTGCCTTACAAAATCACAGCTGAAGAAATGTATGATATATCTGGGAAATATGGACCTATTCGTCAAATCAGAGTGGGGAATACACCTGAAACTAGAGGAACAGCTTATGTGGTCTATGAAGACATCTTTGATGCTAAGAATGCATGTGATCACCTGTCGGGATTCAATGTTTATAACAGATACCTTGTGGTTTTATACTATAATGCCAACAGGGCATTTCAGAAGATGGACACAAAGAAGAAGGAGGAACAGTTGAAGCTTCTGAAGGAGAAATATGGCATCAACACAGATCCACCAAAATAAACATTGTTTTCTTCATTTACATTTTGGACTGAAACCCTTGAATCTCTGCTGCCACCACCTTTTTTTGTTTATAATTAATACTAAATATTGTGATTTTTGTATCTGATATTCATGATTACCTGCTTAAAACATTGCTACATTATTAAATATGTTGATAAATAAATTGTAGCTTTTTGTAAAACAAAAAAAAAAGAGAGACCTGGAGAAGTGGAAGAATATCCTGTGCTCATGGATGGACAGACTCAATATTGTGAAAATGACAATTCTACCAAAGGCAATTTATATGTTCAATGCAATCCCAATACAAATACCAATTCCATTCTTCAATGAGAAGGAAAAGGAAATCTCCAATTTCATTTGGAATGGAAAGAGACCCAGAATAAAAAAAGCACTTCTTACAAAGAGAAACAAGGTAAAAGGCATCTCACTCCCTGATTTCAAATCCTACTAAACTGCAATGGTGGTCAAGACAGCGTGGTACTGATATAATGACAGACACATAGATCAATGGAATAGAATTGAGAATCCAGAAATCAGCCCATCTATCTATGGTCAACTAATTTTTGACAAGGAGATGAAATCAGTTAAGTGGGGAAACGACAGCCTTTTTAACAAATGGTGCTGGCAAAATTGGAAAATTATCTAGAGAAATTTCAAGCAAGATCCACACCTCACTCCATATTGTTGTTGTTGTTATGTGCCATCGAGTCGCTTGTGACTCATAGCGACCCTATGTACAACAGCCTTAAACCCTGCTCTATTCTGTGCCAATCGCACTGCCTCTGACACACCCATCCTGATTACCCCAGTCACTGAATCAATCCACCTCATAGAGGCTCTTCCCCTCTTGCACCGTCACTCCACCCTCCCAAGCATGATGTCCCTCTCCAAGGACCTGTCCCTCCTTACAACATGTCCGAAGTATGTCAGACGAAGCCCCAGAATCTTGCTTCCAAGGAGGAGCCTGGTTTAACCCTCTCCAAGATGAATCTGTTTGTTTTCTAGGCAGTCCATGGTACATTCAATACTCTTCTCCAGAACTACAGCTCAAAGGCATCAATTCTCCTTCTATCCTTCCTAGTCATTGTCCAACTCTCTGATGCATAACAAGTGATGGCAAAGACCATAGCCTGTATCAGATGCACCTTAGTCTCCAGAGTTCTTCAGTACCTGCGAGAGGTCCCTAACAGCAGACTTTCCCATTGCAATACATTTTTTTATTTCCTGGCTACTGGTGCCAAGAGTGTTGACTGTGGAGCCGAGCAAACTGAAGCTGTGAACAATTTCAATCTCTTCACCATCCATCCTGATGCTGCCAATTGGTCCAGTGGTGAGAATCTTTGTCTTCTTGTCATTGAGCCTCAAACCATACTAAAGGCTGCAGTCCTTAACCCTCTGCAGCAAGCCTTTCAGGTCCTTCTAAGTTTCAGCAAGCAGGGTTGTGACCAATTCAAAGTGGATTATGGAGCTAGGGCTGAAACCAAGGACTATAAACGTCATTAAAGAAAAGCTTGGAAGAAGTCCTAATCCACAACATAAACAGTGTTCCAAACATCCTGGAAAATCTACAACCAGGAGAGGATAAAATAGATGAATGGGACTTTCTAAGATCAAATCCCTATGCACATCCAAAAACTTCTCCAACAGGGTCAAAAGGGAAGCCACAGACTGCAAAAAAATATTTGGTAATGACATGTCAGATAAGTGACTTATATCTAAAACATATAAAATACTTGAGCACCACCACAAGATAAAGGTAAATAACCCAATTGAAAAATTGGCACAGGATATGAAGAGACACTTCACCAAAGAAGACATTCAGATGGCCAACAAGCACATGAGGAAATGTTCAAAATCGTTAGCTCTAAGAGAGATGCAAATCAAAACAACTATGAACTATCATCTCACTCCAGTAAGAATAGTAAAATTTAACAGAACAGCAAATATCAAATGTTGGCGAGGTTGTGGAGAAACTGGAACCCTTATTCACTGTTGGTGGGATTGTAAAATGGTTCAACTACTGTGGAAGGCTGTATGGTAGGCACTTCCTCAAAAAGTTGCAAATAGAGATGCCATTTGACCCAGCAATTCCACTAATGGGAATTTACCATAAAGAAATCATAACTGCCACCCAAACAGATATATGCACACCCATGTTTATTGCAGTTTTGTTCACAATAGCAGACTTGGAAACAAATGGATAGAGAAGTTGTGGTATATTCACACAATGGAATACTGTGCAGCATTGAAAAACTAGGAACTAGTGAAATATTATGCAAAATGCGTGACCCTGGAAGACATAATGCTGAGTGAAATATCTCAGTCACAAAAGGACAAATATTGCATAGGGCCACTGTTGAAAATGGTATTATTGTCATGACAAGAGTCCAGAATGAAGGCTGCACAGTGGAGTGGACTTTGCGGGAGGGATGGCATAATAATGAAAGAGTTTTTGTTTTACTTTTCAAGGAGAAGATGGAATTGAGGGAGAGGGAGTAGGCAGGGAGAAAAGTGCAACATGAATGAATGGAAACCCTAAGTCTCTGTAAACTTTCATTAAAATTAATTTAAAAACCTCCAAAATAAAAAAAAAAACAATAAAAAAGAATGGGCTTGAGCATATCAGAGACAGTGTGGATGGCACAGAACATTGCAAGGTTCAGATCTTTTGTTCACAGGCCTTGACAGTCATAGTCAACTTGATGGCATATAACAATAACCACAACAGGTGATCTGATTGACTTTAAATCCTCTATCATGATAGAATGTCACCAGTATCTCTAAGCAGTGTTTATTTCTTTGAGTTTGAAGAGCCCTCTTAGTGGTATGAACGTCCCTTCTCCATTCTGCCTTGTGCCCAGGGACCATGTCTTGTTCTTGTTTGCCTTCCTTATGCCTTTAACAACTGACATGTTCTGCACTGAAAGAGGGTAAATTGATCAACCATGACTATCATACTTTGCAAATAAAATTTTTGTTGTTGTAAAAAATAAAAAGTAGATTAGCTATTCTGCACAGGGCCGACTTCGGAGAAAAGGAATATTGTCCTTGGGAAACATGGCCCAAGTTAGAGTCAAGGTTAAAGATATTGTCATTTGGAAAGACAGGTGCGAAAAAATCAGAGATAGATTGCAGACACACACCAAGACCTTAAAATGAAGTTAAAAAACTGAAACCTAAAAAAAAAATAGAAAGAAAAGAAAAAGAAAAAACAACTGAAACTGAAAGAGTCTAGGCTTCTAAATCAACTTACAGAGTATTTTGAGGAAGTTATCATCTTGTTTCATTTTTCTTTCCCCTGCAATGATAAAAACAATGCTAATTTCCTGTAGCATCCATTTCTCATTAATAGTAATTTAGGTCAGGTGATTGGAAATTACAGACATGGTAACAGAAATGAAACTGGGGGGAAAAAAAGAAATGAAACTGGAGACTGAATAATTGAATTTTGTACAAATAATGACTTATTGCAAATAACTTTAAAAACAACCCCACAAACGACAAACACATCACAAATGGCAAAGGAGCAGAAGCCACTTTCTCCAAGGCGGACTGAAACACAACTTAGTCCTGTGACTGCAGACCCCCAGCTTTCTGACAGCAAAGGCCATGCAAGGTGTGAGGTGGGGGTGCCCATGGGCCCCTACACCCTATATGAGGAAGCACCATAGTGGGTGCTCCTCAGGTGGAAGCTGCAGCTACATTTGAGTGCCTTGAGTTGCATTACTGAAGGATGCTATGGCAAAATCTTGAATGATAGACGAAACATCAAAATAAGATGAAAAACATGTATGGGGACCTAGAGAGAAGGGGTGGGAGCAGAGAGATGAGTATAGGTAGGAGTGGAATCACAAGGCTGCACAATTTGGTGAGTGAAGGGAGAGGGTAAAGGAAATGAGAAAGACCTGATGGGGACCAGGAAGGACAGGATAATGATGAGCAAGACACAATGGTGATTAATTTTATGAAACATAATGCATGAGAATGATTGTATGAAAAACAATGTGAATAGTTTCAAACACAATGTATATGAACTTTGGTAAGCCCACCAATATAAAATATTTTTTTTAAAAATGAATATGAAAAGAATATTTAGTCACTGTACCAAAAATAACTAGATGACATGGAACCACTTTTGGAAGTAGCATTTGATCAAGAACCAATGCTAAAGAAGGAAGAAGTTCAAGTTTCACTGAAGACAATGGCAAAAATTAACTAAGAAGATAGGATACCAACTAATATGCTTCAACAAGCAGAAATAACCCTGAATGTGCTCACAGTCTGTGCCAGGAAATTTGGAAGACACCTACCTAGCCAACTAACTGGAAGAGATTAATATTTGTTACCATTCCCAAAAGAGGTGATCCGACATCATGTGGACATTATCAAATACTATCATTAAGGGAGATCTGGTGGCCTAGTGGCAAGAAGCTGTGCTGCAATCCCAAAGGAACATGGTCCAAGGCCACCAGCTGCTCTGTGGGAGAAGTGTTAGGTCTTCAAACTGGACGTAAGGCCAAGGACTCAAGGAAGGGGCCAGAGAGAAAGAGAAAGATAAATAAGCTTTATTAAGGGGGCTCTTGGGCAGGATTCCTAGGTCTGTAGAGAGAGGGACCATGGAAATACTACATCCTAAGATCAATTAGGGCAGATTTTTATAGCAAGGGTCTTGAGGGAGGGACTGGAGGGACATTCCCTTGTGGTTTAGCCAGGTGGGTGGTCTTCTAGGGAGGGAGTAGAGGGGCACTCCATGATGAGGCGGCTGTTCACTCCCTTTGTTGACATGTTGATATTCTTTGAATCCTTCATTCTCCCTTTGACCTTGGTCTGGGTCTAACATCCCAGACTCTTTAGTGAGGAAAGGGGGCAAGATATTTTTCTTAGCTACTTCCTGCAGAAGAGGGACAAAGATCTGGGGCTCTGAGGCTGGTTTGGGATAGCCCAGGACCAGTAGCCAGGGGAGAATATGGATGCCACAGTAGCTGGTCTAATTTGGTCAT